TAAATTGGTTTTCTAAATTTGATTAACTATGAAAGCTCGGTTAACCGAAATTCTAAGCCGCCACTTAACTTAGGTATTACCATGTTTTTCTAAAAAGCTCTCCTCATTTTAGGATTTCTCTTTACCGACCCTCACTAAAACTGTGCCATTGCTTGCTTTATTAATAATATATTCACATAAAAAATGTGCACATTCAACCCAAATGCTACAAATTTATTGAAAATTTATTACCGTGTTTGGTATAAAATCTTCTTATGCCATCCTTTGATCTTTTGTTTCATATGATCAGTAATTTTATTCAACATTTTTTTCTGCCCAATGGGCAAGCCATTATACTTGCAATGTTATGTATATTCAGAATGTTCTTAACATTTTCAGTTTTCACTAGTGTGTTGGAAAACTTTTTTTGTCAAAAGTAATAATAGACTTTGCTAGATTGATCCAACCATGATGCTCTTTAATACTCTTTAAATATCTTGTGTAGTTATTTTTTTTTTTGAAATTTAATATCTTGTGTAGTTAATATGAATTAGTTTGATTTGCCGGACAGAAGAACATGAATTTCAGTGAGGTAATAAGAGAACGACTTGAATATATGTTTTTTAAATTTAGCGTTCGATTAGAAAATTTATGGCACCAAATAGTGATGATTTGCACTGCCCCGTCCTCCACGAAACAATAACAAAAATTATATTTATATATGTATATCTAACAAAATTCTATACATTTACAATGTATTTTTTTTGCTATTTGTCTTACACTGCTCTATCCTATTCTGCACCGCACTGTCACCATTCAGACCATGTATATTAAATATTTATTGCAACCCTTTATTTTTAAAATTTCAAAAACGATTTGGAGATGTGTCTTTTAGTTGCCTTTTTTTGTTTTTAAAAATTGAATTATTGTATTTTAAAAAAAATTTATACAATTTATTATTTTTTGTGTTGCACATTTTTAGATCTAACACTATTTTTAACAGTTATAAAAACTACTAAAAATCTTAGCAATCAATGATATTTTATTGATTTCGCAAGGATTCAAGTTTTAGATTTCGAATGACATCACCAGAATAAACAGTA